CAAAACAATCCATCGGTTGTTTGTGCTCAGTTTGGGCAATTCGTAAGTAATAGTTTTCGGGTGACACTTACAGTATTAGGAAGCAAAATTGTGATGGAGGTTCTCTTAACAAGTATGAGATTTGGTTGGTACACATCCTTATCACTTCTTCAGAGTGTAGTCAGTAAACATGAAGACCTGCCACATGAAGTAATTTAATTCAATGAATGTTAAACCGATTGTGCTGCTAACGCTTTCCAGAAATACTGTATAGTCACCTTTAGTAATCAGCTGTAAAAAAAAATCCATAAGCATCAATAAAAGGAGCGCTAATCCTGCAGTGTAACAGGGCAAATCTCTAAAAGGCATCTTCAATTTCTGATGAAATAATCAGCTAAAAGAGAGAGTTTCTGCCAGTTTCTGTGCTGCGCAGCATGGCTCTGCCCTGGAGCCCAGAGCTCGGCAGGGTGAGAAGGCCCTGGCAGAGCCCGGCCTGCCAGGGCAGCACCGCCTGCGCCCGGGACGCTCCCCGTGCCCTCTGGCCTCCTTGGGAAGCCGGGACGGCTCGGGGGCTGTCGCTCGCGTCGGCGCTGTGGCAGCCTTGGCTCCGCTGGGGCAGGTGAACATCCGTGAGAGAGGGGAGGTTGAGCCTCTCGTTTTTGCAAGCTCATTTCCTAGTCAGGATCCCAGGCAGGTACAGATTTTCTGTTGATACACAAAATGGATGTTGCTGTTTGACGAGCATTTAGGCGGCAGTTAAAGCATTCAGAATTGCAATCATGATTCGAGTGTGTGTTCTGTGTCCTCTTTGCATGAGAACTCAACCAGAAACTGCCGAGCTTATTGGGAAGTCAGTGTACTGGGCAGATACAATGTAGCGAATAAATACAGGAGGGCTCTGTGAGTAGTTACCAAAAGCGTCTTGATACTCTTTTAGGATCTCAATAAACGCAGCAGAAGGAAACCTTCCGGGGGTGTCACTTATTCCAGAAGGTTAGAAGTCTGTTTTCATTAGATTACAAAAAGAGAATTTAAGGGTCGATTGGTACTAACTACCTCACTGAGTTGTGCTGCCTTTGGAGGAACCCAGAAAGGAATGATGCACAGGGCCTTCTGGGTTCGATGCTGTCCAGACACAGGAAGAACAAAGCAGATGTCTGGCAAGATTGAGGGCAAAGAAGTTTGTTTAGTTTACTTGTGCTGTAGTATATGAATGCTGGATAAATAGAAAAATTAGATTTAGAAAAGATTTAAAAAGGAACAAAAGCAAGTGCTGCATGCTTTTAAAATGGATCTAGGAGCATATGTGGAAGAAAATTAACCATAAATGTTATCTCAAAGGAGAGGATCCTCTTGGAATAAGTGTATATATGGTAGTTAAGTCTAAAAATGGCAGTTAAGTCTAACATTTGTTATGTTGCTATTGTTTAGTGAAATGACAGAACATCTGCTCAGTCACAAGACACCAGTAAAATGCAGCTTTATGCCTAAAGCAGTATGTCAATCCCTAACAAAAAATGTATATAATGGACTAAGAACAAAAGCTCATTGTCTTTTCCAGTTGTAGTCACTTCTGACCTAATAATGGTTTAAAAAGGAGTTTTATTTTTCTTTTTGAATAGGATGAATGGAAGGATTGAGTAATTTCTGACTCCTTTGAAGAATGGCCCTCTAAATTATTAGTGCCTAATGCTAGCAAAGTGCTTCATCTCTGCAAATTGTATTTATGTCGCTAGAGTACTTTTAAAAAGACAACTGTTTGTCAGTACCTTGAGAGAAGATGTGCTTAGCTTACGGGTCCTTAATATCATATATAATAAGCCATTTTCTGATCTTTGTGCAAACAGCAGCCAGTAAGATGCACGTGCTCACATGACAAGTGGACTGAAATCAGATTTTAGCTCTGCTTTTTCAGAAAGGAAGAACATTCACACACAAATCCTTCATATAGAAAACTAATTAACAAATCCCTCAGGAAACAGTTACTATATGGAGTTTGTGTCTGAATATGCCAAGCACACAGCTTTAAGTGGCTTTATTCTAAAAGTGTGTTTGCTTAGTTTTCCATGGCCATGCTTCATGCCTGGAAAGCCTGAAACACTGGTGCAAAATACAAGTTTAAAACCCATTTTTCTGATGAAATGAGCTCATTATTCCACAGCTTGAAGTTGTCTCATCAGATATACAGGCATATATGACCCCTCAGAAAATAGACTAATCAAGGAAGTTGATTAAAATTGGCATTTTTATCAAATAGTTTTTTGTGGAGTTAGCGGTTATTATTTAATTAATATGTGGGAGTGCTCATTTGGAACACGCCGTCATGAAGAAGTATGAGAATAAATGTTATGTTCTAGTACATCCACGTTGAGAGATCCAGAGACACTTTTGGGGTTAGGCTCGGCAGGGAGCCTGGGGATTGCACTTGGAAGGCAGCGTAAGGAGCAGCTCCGATGCAGCCCAGCTGCCACCGGCTGCGCGGCCCCGGCCTCTGCCGCGGCTCCGGGAATGCCCGCGAGACGTCCCGAGTGTCAACAGGGCGGAGAGACAGCAGCCCTGCTCATGGGACTCCTCCCTCCTCTGTAAAACTATCCTTCAGCTTTCTAATGTAACTTAAACTTGGAACCTTGGCTGGAATAAAATGCATAAGTATAGTCATCTGCATCTGACTCGGAGCTGAACAGGAATATGTGAGTTTTACCGTTCAGATGAATCAGGGACAAATGGTAGGGCTGTTCCACTGAAAGTGGGGCACATTTTGTTCAACTATTTGCTTGTTTTGAGGAGAGGTCAGGATTGAGCCGTGAGCACTGACTGAAATCAAATTTTGAAAAGAATGATAACCTTAATGGGCAGTAAACATTTCTGCTTTCACTGGCAAACAATCATCAAAAACCTTCATTACATTTTGTGTCTGTTCTGTTCATCACTTAGCTGTTTCTGTTCATTCTAAAGGATTATAACTACAAATGCATGAGTCTTCTCTAATACGGTCAAGACACGGTAAATCTGAGAAAGAACTGAGTTATCTTTCCCCCTCATAGGCAATTTTTTCCAATTGGTGGACAAAATGTTGTTTTGTATTGCCATGGCATCAGGCTTCATGTCTGAGAATGATAAGGTTCACCATGATAAGGTTCACCATTCAGCAACTTGTCTATAAAGAATAGCAGGCAGGATTTAATGCTCTTCCCCACTAGAGTCCATCCCCTCTCCTCCCACATCCTGAGCTTCCAGCTGCAGTGTGAAGTTATTTGTGCTTTTGGAATGAGCAAACAGGTCAGTGAAAGGCTGAAAAAAAGTCTGAGTTCTCTTGTGTAAAAGTTGGCATATGTTGTTCAACAGAGAAGGAAGGACCTCTTGGCCAAGTGGTCCAGGCATTTGTCATTCCAAGCGTGGAGGATGGCAGTTCACAGGAGCTGCGGAAGGAGATTATAACACAGAGCTTCCCACTGCAGAGAAATTGCTGCCTTCATAGCTCCGCATCAGTTTAACCCAGTTAATACCGTTATCTTGACCTGTGTTCCCGTTCCTCCCTCGGCTCCCAGCCCACCTCCTTGTTAGCTTAGAAACTGTCTCAATCTTCAAAGTATCTGCAGTCCAAAATACGTTTCCCTCAGAGCCAAAAATAATTACAGTGCTCGGGGATAAAGCAGATCAGAAAGCCTGAAATGACTCTGCAGCATTTTGGGGGAAGATACTTGTGGTGAAGGGTACTGGACAGATCCAGAATCTGACAAACGTTGAGAAGCATTACAAACCCTTTCCAGCTGCTTAAAAAACTTTCATATAACCAGAATAAAGGATCTTAATACCAGCAGCACTAACACAAACAAGGTTTTTGTAACTTGCAAAGGGAGACAAACAAGCTGGCTTTCAAAACAATGTTCATCCGTGTGGTATAGCATAGTTTCAGCTGGAAACAGTACAGGGGGTTGAGGGCATCAGCCAAGGAACATGAAACACCTAAATTCTGGCTTTTATATCAGTGAATGTTTAAGTGTCCTACAAAAAATGGCCCAGGTTCAACAGCAGAGGTTTGGTCTAGCTCGGTGAGAAAGCTCTCCGCTATGGAAGAGTTAGCTCCAAGCTTCTTCTTTGAATGATTTTTCTTTGACTGCTGCCTTATAACAAAATGTATTAGTCTAAAACAGTTATTTCATTTCTTCCCCAATAGTGCTGCTGTTGTTGCTGCTCCCCAGATAGGCTGGATCTAGACTGATGGAAAATGAAATGGTGTTTTTCATTCTTTGGAATCATCAGTGACCTGAAGAGTCATTTGTTGCAACAGCAGTAACAACAGGCAGCAGTTCATTGGGACAGAGGGAATTAGAACATATAAAATCAAAAAGATTCGTTTGGGGAGTGAATACATTATTATAGTAAGTGTCACCAAGAATGATACATTGAGATTAATTTTAGAAACAGCCTCCTCTGTAGGCAGTCCAAAAATGTATTTGAAGTGAAATCTAATGAACAACTCGCAGTTGGTAAAGGCATCTTCTCATGCCTTTAATTTAGAATGCCTTCTAAATCATTGTAAAAATCCTGTCGAGGGGCTGAGGCATCCAAGTGACCAAGCACATCTGAGGAGCAGCAGATACACTCAGCTCTTGGAAGGCTGTCAAGGCCTACTGTTGTCTTCAGCTGTACATATCCCAGAACAAGTACTCAGACATCAGCAGATTATAATGGCATTAACCCCTGATATCCCATATGTAGTCTGCAAGAGGACCAGCTGCAGGACCAGAGGTACCTATGATGCTACTGGAAAACGGAATATGTGGTGTTTTCAATTACAAGTTTGGTGATAAATGTTCTTGGTCTTAGGTGGTGGAGAATTTTTGTGTGGACTTTTGTTCCAAAATTTCTGTGAGTCTCGACCAGAAACAATCCTCACTTCTAGGAACAGTTTTGTAAAGAATGGGAGCGTGAAAGTGCTTGTTACATTATAAACCCAGGATGACCATCAGGGGTTGTGTAAATAAACTGACCGTTGCTTTTTACTTCTTCCATTCTAGCTGGATGCTGAGAAGGCAAAATTCAAACTGGAAAGATGGGCTTCCCGAGAGGCTGGCAGCGGGGCTGGAAGAAGTGAGGAGACAGAGTCAAGTGGGGATTGTGATGATGAGGATGGCTGTCAAGGATCTGGTGACAGGATTCACTCAGCAGGTAAATACAGTTTTATAGGCACCTACAGAGCTTAGAAATTCCTAAGTGTCACAAATAGACAGGCAGAGTTAAGACTTGAATCCTTCTAAAAATCCTACTAAACTCAACAGGTTCGAATCTTCATCTGCTATGAAGAGCTGCTGTAAAAATAGAAGGGTATAGACAGTCATCCAATGTAATTTTAATATTTGGCATGCAGATAAAAGACTTATATTTAGACTGAATAATACCTACAATGAAATCTAGATCGCAGAAATATGGGAGCATTCCTAAATTATGTAGGCTCTTAAATCAATAGAGAATTAACGTCCTTATAGATTGTGTTAAGTGCTAATGTAAATGTTCGTTGCATAATGATGCTGAGGAATGATCCAAATAGAGTTTACGTCTGAAAGTATGTATTTTGGAAAACACACAAACTATTATTTCTTTTTGAAAAGAGAGGTGATAGATAAAGGCGATCTTGATTTAAAATTTCTCATAGTGTCTAGAATGTGTTCTGATGTATTTATTTCTAGAATTAATTAACTGATATGTCATTAAGTGAAGAAGCCGCATCAGAACCTAACCTAACTTCCACCAAAATGCCTGCAATTTAACAGGTCATTAAATAACTTAAAAGGTAACTGCTAAATTTTTTAGTAAAAAATAGCATGTTTTCTTCCCAAAAGTTTGTGAATATGTTTGGTTTGGATATTCAGGTATTTAAAATACGGTCATATTAGCAAGAGAAGAATGAGAAATGCACTAGTGGATATTTGTGTTGAAAAATAATGCTCATTAAGCACCTAGTTAGCACCTAGTTAGGTCGTTTTGAAACTGCTGCTTTCATTCAGTTGAGGTCAGTACAAGTACATCCTCATTTTCTTTTTTTCCCCACTAAGTGGACAGTGGGAAAAGGTATCCCATATTCAGGTAACCTTTGCCAGCTTTGGTTAGGCTGTATTCAGGACTTCAGTTGCTCCCTTGTGATTAGCTGTTTAGGAAAACTGAGCTTCAACATAAATTTTGAAATATGTGCAGAAAATAATTTTAATTTGCAATATTGTGTTATAAAAATCTGAAATTAATTTGCATTTATTTTAACTATAGAATCAAGAAATCTTTTTAAAACTATTTTAAATAATGTAAATAAAACCTTGGCACATTTTGGAAAAAATATTATATAATTGCAACTAACAGATCAAGTGGAGATTTGTAGTCTCTTCAACAGTATTTTTGAATAGAAATGAAGAACTTTGATACAGTGTTCTTTAAAAACTACTACCTTAACGTTTTTTCACTGTTTGCTTTATTATACCCACAAGCAACAAATAGACTGCTAGATGTTTTGGACCATGGAGGTTTGAGAGTGTAAATACTTTGAAGTTGTATGTTTTCCCCTCTGTGTGGTATAATATAAACAAAAGCCAGGTACTAACTACTCTTCAAAGAACAACTAAACTGCAAATACACTGTTTTGGGGAGGATGTGTCTGCATGCCTACGCACAGCAACTTTCACCTGTTCAAAAGGGAAATCCTGAAAGATTTCAATGCTAGGCTTAATGTTGGCTTTAACAATGGTAAATGTGGACACTGCCCGCGTGTTTCTTTATTCCTTTTTTGCAATTTGCTTAGATAAAATCTTTCATGCTGATACCCTTCTGAATTTAAAAGAATTATGTTTTCATAACTAGCTGTTTCAGTGGTTTAGTAGGGTTTATATTCAATTTAAGAAGTACTTACAATTCATTTTAGAAAATAATATTGACCCATAACAGTAAAATGAATATTTCATCATGTGACAATTGTAATGCTGTTTCATAATCAGCCTTAAAATGTTGTACTATATGCAAGGCACTAGCAGTAAATCTGTTTTGCATATCTGGATGCAATTAAGAGATAAAATGGGGAAATCTCATCCTAGAACTTCTTTGTTTTAATAGAATGTTAAAGAAATAAACATCCGCTTAGCTGAATTTCCTGTTGCTGCATGTCTGTAAGACGGTGTTTCTAATTGTACAGCCCATTAATTTTTTATATTTTGGAAACTTAAAACCCCTCAAGTGCAACTGACCTTCGTACAAATGGCACATGCCAACATTGACTGCTCTTTCCTTGCACAGAGTGCAGGGAGACGTGACCTGAAGCTAAGAGCTAAATCCCAACTAACAGCCTGACGGCCGCTCAGTGAGGATGTTCCTGCTGCCTGTGGCAGGTTTGCATGAGACATCAATGAGAGCCTGAACGTGCCACCAACCTCATCAGTGAATGTTGTAGCTTGCAGTCGTATGGTAGGAAAAACGGAATAGAAATCCTTTCCAAACATACACTTCTTGGCAGATACATCATGTTTTTAGCAACAGGTCCATGGAAAAGAAAAAGGGATTTAAGTCTCAACCTCTAAAATACCAATTTTAGAATACAGTGGAAAGTACAATACAGCTGTCATTTATTTGAAAACTACATGAAAATTAGATTTGCATTTGATTTGCTCACACTCCTGCCTTGTGCAAAAAGCCTCCTATTACTTTTTCAGATGGTTAACTGAGAGCCTGGCTGCCAGCTTTTAGACTTGAGTGTCCACCAGGCTGGTTAACACAGGAGTGGTTCTGTGCTTGTGTGGTCCAGCCAGGTCCAGTGTATAAGCATCCTTCTTCTGATAGCCCTGCTATTTATTTATTTATTTAGCTCCTGGTTTGCTATCTTTATATTGCAGCTGCTCTGTCAAGGCATATTAAAATCTTGTCATTTTTGTTCGTCACCTTCTAGCCTTTGAGAATCTTTGCTGTGTGTCAGTTGATCATTCTTTTTAATCTCTTTAATTGATATATGTGACTGTCTATTATTAGTGATTCTTTTGGCTTATCTTTGTTGCAAATAAGTCTTTCCTAGCCAAGTCCATTATTAGCTAAAAAGATTACGGCTTACCCTTTTAACTGTAATCTACTTAATTATACATTCTGTATCATGTGTGTTTATCCAGATGATTTCATACAAACAAGATAAACTAATTCTCAAGAAACTGGCAGTTCTCTTAAGAAAATGATGTATGCTAGAAGATACTTTGAAGTGTCATTTTTTTTCGGTCTTAAAGATTACCATGAGTATCCTTTCCTGGGAAAATATGTGGAAACAGCACTGTCTCTCAAGTAGATCCATGTGTTATTTGTTGGCAAGTACCAACTTTTTAATGACAACATCTGTTAATCATCTTTGAACACAGCTTTGTTAGGAGAGGAAAGCAAACCATATAAATCCTGAACACGGATGGGGAGGTTCCTCTGTGATCTGGACTGCTGCAGTCCCACGAGTTTCTAGGCGAAGTGCACAGCAGCATCTCAGTCCAGACCTTGCTGGGCACTGTGTGACCAGGTAACACGTTCTTACCTCAGTTCCCATCACAAGAAGAGTCTGCTGATTTCAGTGCTCACTCTTCAGCCCTCACTGGACGGTGAGGGTGACGGAGGTGTGGACGTGAGCTAGGCCTGCTCAGCACCTTGCAGGATTAGGAATGCTGGGGAGGAGAGGGAGCAGCGGCTTGCAGTTCAGGAGAAGGCAGAACAGTGACAGCTTCACACTGTGTCTTTGCCTCTCCTCTGTTGTGATAAAAGGAAAAGCGATGTTTCTGTTCAGGGAGAAGTGGGATTAAGGCAGTGCAGTGTGTTTCCTACTCGCAGCTGTGCTGCACAGCTGTATGTTGGGACAAGGCCAGGCTGTGACAACTAACACATAACAGGGCCCGAGATGGTTCTGCTGCGCTCCTGGACGAGGCCGGCACAAGCAGGAAATCTCTTCAGGACAATCATCAGTTGCTTTTCCACTGAGCCGAGGTTTGAGGTAACCTTTTGACTGTAGGCAGGGACCTGGTTCAAGTGCAACCCTAAAGTCACCTATATCTAATTCCAACAACAGTTTTCTTGTGCACCTCTTTCTTCCTAATTCCTACTTGTATTATGAAGCTCCCTCCATTTAATAAGTCCTCTCTGATTTTGAACACCTCAGTAGTATATCCTGAAATGTCACATTTCAGCACTTAAGTAGGACCCTCTTACAAATTTACTTTCTTACAACATTCAGCTGACAAAATTCCAACCGTGGTTTTCTTCCTTGCTGCTAAGACAACCCACAGCAATAGCGTGTCCTTCTGCCCTAGGCAGAGTATCAGAACGGTTATTCTGGTTGTACGTTTCTTTTCCAGATTTCTTTTTACCACATGCAGACTTCCTTTTCGCTTTGTGTCTTCTGTCTGATGTGTATCTGCCCTCAACAGCTGTGGAAGGTTAATGTATTTTTTCTCATCATTCATGAATGTTCTCATTATCAATTTTTCTTCCAGACTATCAATATTCTTCTATTCTTTATAATGTTCTCATCCTCCCGGCTTCTGTCTTTTCTAAGCATTAATATTACTGTCTGAGTTGTCATTTTCATCATAGTTCATTTCCATTCCCCATGTTACGGGATGCACTTACACTTGTATTTATCTAAATATGTAATTGTACAGCTGCTGATTTTGTAATTATTAGTACAAAACATCAATATTCTGAGATCATAATATCTGCTGGCAGTCAGCCACGCTCATCGGGTTCCCACTGCCACACGTCCTAGTTCCTCGCAGCTGATCCTGGCTCACAGAAATACTGCGTTTCCGCAGGCTCCTCTCTCCCTGCCTGGGGAATCCTCTCCATCCCGCCTCGCCGCGCGCTGCCTTCCTCAGCTCTCCTTCAGCATCCTTGGTTGCACACAAGACATCTGATTTCCTGCTCCATTTTTAGAGAGCCTATAAATTCCCTGATTGCTGCCGTATTGAAAAGGCCTCTGTCTATTCACAAAACATACAGAAACAATTTAGGCCATTATATAAGATTTGTTTTAAAAAAATCACTGTTTTCAAAGCTTTACTTTTGTCTTTTCAAGTGGTAGATAGAGATGAGCCTCAGTCTACAGCAGCCTCAGCAGAGCCTGTCAGAGGGCCCTAGCACGCGTGGGGAGAAGGGGGCGATAGTTCCGCAGGGAA